TGCTCAGTTCTCCGTGGCTGAGGGATCACTCAAGACCGTCTGGTGTTTGGGTAGATCCGAAATAATACTTTGAATGCGGAGGGAATATACATGGGTTGAAATGCCTAACGTCCAGAATGAGACTCAGTCAGAATGATTTTGGTCACGAGGAAAATAGTAGATGGGAGTTCATAAGGCTCCTCGGATTTCTTCACGGAAATGGGGATTTTCCCTGTCAAAGTTCGCACGACAGCCGTCCAGCGGGAGACTTTCTGAATAAAATAGAATCCGAAGACTTCTCACCTCAATGAAGAAACGGATACGGCTTTCCATATTGTAACACAGAATCATTTGAGAATACTTCCTCATGGTATCGTGGCTCTTGAAGGTGCGAGTCTTGAATTTATTTATATTTAATTCATTCCATCCGATCGATGAGGAGAAATGAATTCGGGAACCAGAGATAGATCTTCCGTGGTCATGGCCGAATGAATGATGATGGGAACACCGCCTCCATCAGTTTAATGGGGATAACGCTTATCGGAAACAAGAGTTTCCCTCTGGAATGGGTTCCGGAGCTGCTGCGGGGGCGTCGCTGGGAGGAGGTGCCAGGCGGCAGCGGGGCAAAAATCGTGAACAGTGCGATTAAGGATGACAAATATGGAGAAATGTAGGAAGTACCCACTAGCTTCAAGTTTGATCAACAGTGTTCCCGCTCGGAACTCAGATGCTAGTGGTTTTCGAAATCAGCACCGATCATATTCGGGGAACTTCTGCAGTGGTGTAGGACCAGTGGTGCGCGAGCCACCGTGCGGTCGTCAAAATTTGGAATCTCGAGGAACCCACTGCTTCCGAACTGTTGCATTCCTCTCACTTCCTTCCTCCGCGAAACTCTTTCATTTGAGTTCGCGATTCATCTCATCATTTCCACGTGGGGAATTCCCCGTCGCTTGATCAACCTCGGCGAGCCGTGCTTTCGTTGTGACTGCGTGTGAGCTCCATCCCTCGGATCTCAGGGCGGTAAGAGTTCTCCGGGAAGCTCCTTGAGAGTTTCGTGCAAGGGAAAAACAATCGTTTTCTCAGGTATCCGTGTATCTGCGGCAATCTCTTTTGTCCAGCAAATCCCACTGGGAGTCCTTATCTTCAAGCATGTTCCCGCCCTCAGATTCAACTGTGATAATTGGTCTGGGAGTCGATCCAGGATATTTCCCCGATGGAAATCCTGTGGGCGCCATCGATATAGAAAATGAGGGGGAGAGACCGTCATGAGCCCCCGGGATGCTCAGCGTTCCCTACAGCTCCGTCCGACAGGCGTCGCGGACGATCAAGCGGCGCTGGTAGAACCCAAGAATAAATGGAAAGCGGATCGTTCTCACGAGCATGAACTTCCGTACATGTCCCAAGCGAGCTCCCGCGTAATTTCTCCTGCGAATGACTCAATACGCCGTCGGTCTGCTCCTTCCTGGGCGAACGCTCCGCTCACGCGATAATGTTGCCTATCCTCGGGGGGCTCGATCTCTTTCCGACAATGAGATAGAAGATTGCGATCGAGCCCTCTCAGTGCGATGCTGATCCGTTTAGTGGACGATCCGATGAATTAGCGTAATGCATTGTTCTTTGTGTCCGTCAATCGGTTAGCTAATGAACGGTCGATCGGATCATCGCTCTCTTCGCTCTTGCTTGACCTGCTCGCAGGCCGCGCTGCTGCTTGTTTTGAAAGTGGAAAATCGGACATCTATAGCTTAGTCAATTGGGCTGATAGACAATGGATGAGCATGAGACGGCGGAGGAGCTATCGGACATGGGGGCGAGCACTCCCAGCGATCCGTGATCTGCCCTTGTTGCTCTCACCGCTGGTGAGGCTGAGAGAATCCGCATGGGATCCGGTTATTCCACACAGCACAACCACACCGACGAATTTCCAGCTGAGCGACATCGATACTGGCAGCAGAAAACTGGAATGACGACGGGAGATCAGTCTCAAGCCCCTCGGGGATAAGCAAGCGTGGCACCCGAAAACGCCGCTCGACAGCGACGATCGGCTGACTCTCCCTGGCTCCCGATCAAAGAATGCGTGAGCCAGACTTTTGGTACGGTCCCCCATCCGTCGTTTTATCCCTTCGAGAGTCGGCTACTGCGCCGGCGCCGGTTCACGTAATTGAGCAAGCATTCATTCATTCGTTCGTTTCTACTTCTTCTCGAGCCCTCACAAGTCGGCGGGAGAATTAGGAAAACTAAGACAAAAAATTTGAAGCACTTCTTCAGTCTGATACTGACTATCATCGGCAGTAGCCTCGCGGCGCTAGCATATCGCTCTGATCTGGCTCCTAGTCGGACTCCTTGAGCCCTGTTGGCGTCTAGATATTATCAAACAATTACAGCGAGCACAGACGTGTGCTCTCATACGAGAAGGCAGGCCGTGTAATCTGCCGTCACCTCAAGAAAAGCTTTGCTTGCGATTCCATTCCTCAGTTAGACTCGGGAGGGAAGATACGTGCCAATCGGTGGGACAAGTTGGGCATTTCACGACGTTGCGTACGTCGGGCTCAGAATATGGTCACCTGATTCGTATTCTGGAAGAGGCTCGGAGAGAAATATTCATACGCGGAGAAGAGTCAGCTCCTAATTCTGCCATTTTACTTGGGCTCATTAGAAACTAAAAAGCGCTTCACATGAGGATTCACTTAGAGTGAATTAATCAAGTTATCTTATCGCGAGGACTTTGCCATGTGATAAGGAAGCTCGCTCCCACACCTGTTGTAGGATTTTCTAATCGCTACCCTCATTTTCGTAAGAATTATCGTCGCAGACATTTTTTTTCCGAGAAAATTTACTCGAAGGCATCTGTTTCTCGTTACCAAATGAGCTCTCCGAGACAAGACTCCGGAGCCGTAGGCGGTCGCCATCTTCTGTTCTTTTCGGAACGCCGGAGATCAGACGATTCATTCTGACCTGCGTTCCCCGATACATCAGATTCCGATCGCCTCCAAATATCGAGGTTCCAATGTAAGCATCCTCCCTATCTCACACGCCTGTGGAGGACAAGAGCAGGCTTCTAGGTTGGCAGCAAACTTGGCTGATATGATTATTACAATACAATAAAATACAACATTGTACAACAAGATCTGAAGTATACCATTCTTAAGCGCTCATGGGATGACATCTCGATCCGACAAGGAAAATCCGCGGACCCCTCTAGCCAGAGAACACTCCATTGTCGAGCCTGAGCGTCCTGGGTTTCAGGTCACATTGAAAGGTATTGTTCCCAACTCGAGACTCTCGTGCGGTGATCCAAGAGAGCGAATGCGTGTTGGAGTCCGCCGGTGACCTACTTATCCTCCGCCGCCGGAGACCGGAACTAGGTGCGTCCGCGGGGAGGAGCGCACATTGGCTACAGCCCCCTTTTAGAAGAACGAGTCGCCACTTTGGATATCAGCCGAATGCGAGGACCCGATCCAGCCCCGCTCCAAGAAAAATCCTGCGGACGCAAGTGATCGGAGGCTCCTCGCAAGCTTTCACGGAATTGCCCTCGCTCAGAAAACTCGAGTATATATAACTCTCGGGAATATTTGCAGTAGGAAAAGTCTAGAAGCCCTAAGGCATCGAAGCCCGGTGGATGGCCCTTCCTCGGCCATTCGTATGGATACGTGGTTTCTAACAATATCTTGCGCTTAGCGGAACGACACGCTTCTGAAGCCACCGGGGAAGCGCATTAAGAAGGAGAATATACCTATCACATCACCGCCATGTAGGAGAAGTCGCGGCGGCGGCAATGAGTCAGTCTATTGTTCCCAGAAAACGAAAAATCTTTGACGAAAATTGCTTGAATGGAAACAATGAATACGCATTTCTTATTCCTTCCCGCCGTCACGTTGTTGTGCCCGGGTGGCTGACTGGCCGGTCCAGCCGCCTGCTTGCCGGTGTTGAGGCTGGCGGGCCCAGCGGCGGTACTGTGTTCTTCGTCTTCCCTGATTTGTTTGTTTAACCTAGATTCTACCACGACGATGACTGTGCCTGCTGGCGACGATGACTGTCTGAATTGCTCGTCTGACCGTTTGACGTAAGAAGCCTGTCAGGCAAGCTCAGGATTCCGTAGCCGCGGCGCCCGGAAAGTATCCAGAGACCAGAGACCCATGGAAGCCATGAAAACCCCAATTTCGGCTGCTCCTCTCGGGCTCGACTCGGAGCGTCAACTGTCGGTCTGTGATTCTCGGAGTGCCTTGCCGTCTGACGAGAAAGTGTCGGACGTCAGCATAATGGTGCGGATAAAACTCCCCCTCACGAATCGCGGGTTATTCATGTAGCACTCGTTAGAAGCTCGGAACTCGAAAGGTGCCGGTCTCCGGCAGGCGATCGATGCAGGCGAGCGAGATATCCGGATGTATCTTCGAGTGCGCAGTCCCTATCCGACTCCGACGCGGCAATTATCGGCATTTTAGCACTAGTCTCTGAAGAATTTCTCTCGTCGTCCTCTGAGCGCACAGCCTTACGGATCTTCGCCGGGCAGGCATGTAAAAATCCACGTGATGAAGTTCGCGTCGCCGTTCTCGCGCCGCAGCGGCCCTCCGTCAACATGGAACGATTGCCATCAATCGAATGGGTTGATGAACTCTGAGAAGACGTCGAGTTTGCCCGATTCCGCAGGCTCTGCGTCCCCCGATTCTCTATTATGGATATAGCATCGAGCCCTTTCTTGACCACGATTGACGATTAGACAAGACTGTGGGCCTCACTGTGCCAAGCTTAGGCCGGAGTTGTCCAGACAGATCCGTCCGCACTCGCTCCGACACTTTACGTATCGCCCCATTGAGTAATGCCTCCGAGAGTTCAGGAGCATGTGGAGAGAAAGTCTCTAGGCGAGCCATGATGTGTCATTGAATGGTACGATGCCTCAGAATCTGATATAATCCCTATGCACGAATTTCATGATCATGGCCGGGTTGATGAGTCTTGGAAGGCCGTTGTTGGTCACACCACAAAATTTATTCATCAAAACCTACTCACTCCAAATCCCGAGGGTATCAAACTTCTGAGCCTTTCGGTCTAGCCTTCGTTTTTTTCTTTGTGCGGGCCTCGGGCGGATCGTCCGTGGTATTGGCTTTGAGCTTCGATTTTCCTTTCTTGGAAGGAGTCTGGTCCGGAATGGTTTTGGCGTCCTTCCTCTCCTTCTTTTTGCTCTTACTCGTCTCCTTCGCTGCGTCATCGCTTTCTTCCGCTGAGGCGCTTTCATTAAGGGGCTTGGCCAGTCCGGAATTCATCGCAGAATCGACCACTGAGCCTCTAGGCAGACTTGCTTTCGTGCCCTTGACAAGTTTCTTATCTATGAGATCATCAACTTTTTTCGTGGCTCTCTGAGCAGTTTTCTTCTGTACGCTTTTCTTCGAGGGCTGTTTCTCCTTCGGGATGCCTTCCGGAGCTGGAGCCACCGTCGACACCTCTGAGGCCGAGATTCCGCGACTTTGTTCCTCCTCTACGCCACTCCCCCGTTTCTTTTTGACGACGGTCTCCACATTCGGAGCCAGACTTTTGGATCCGCCGGCGGATTTCTCGTGCTTCGGGGAAGGTCTCTGAGGGTCCGTGTCCGTACCCCCCCGCGGAGCAGCCTGGAGCTCTCCGACGACGACAGCGTCCTCCTTGGGGGGCTTCCCCTCGGACGCAGTCCTCTCATTCTCTGAGGAATCAGCTTGGAGTCCTTCCTGAACGGCAGACTCACTCGCAGAAAAATTATCCTTGGGAGCTGCCTCAACTGTCTTGAGGAGATCGACTGGGATTCCTCCTTCGGATGATCTGTCGTCCCGAAATGACGTTCTCTCCGCGCTTGCTCCGGATACCTCCTGGGAATCGGCTTCGGATTTTCCTCCCCAGGCAGATTGATCGTATGTGCTTTTCCCCTGTTTTTCTGTGTGCGCACCTTCGACGGAGTCGGCTCGGAGCGTGTCTCCCGAAGAGCTTCCGAAGGAGGCTCCCTTGGAAGTCGATTCCGTGGATTTGGAGATATCGCCTGAGACTTCTCTGTCTTCGGACTTCTCAATCTGCGGTGGACGCCCCGCAGTGACTATCTTCACATGACCGGGGAGATTGATTTTCAAGTTCCTCACAGCCGCCTCGTTTTCGGGAGGCGACCCCTCTGCCGCCCTTCTCACATCATTGACGAGCTTGCCTCGGAGCCCTTTTTCCACGACATTCTCGCTCTTCGGGAGAGACTCTGTCGTCGTTTTCGCACCCCCGAGAGGATCGCTCCTGAGTTCTCGAGCAATGTCTTGTTCCACAGAGGCGGCTGCTTTCGGTGCGTTGACCATCGAAGTCGTCCGGGGTTGTTTCAGGAAATTCCCCAAGCGCCTGCAATCGAAACTTTGAGAAAGCGGGTCTGACACCTCTGAATATCCAGTAATTCTCCTGTATGGGAAATTCAAGACTCAGATTCTTGGACGGAGATAGACGGAAGAAACTCACTGGAGTAGCTTAAACACCATCACGTTCCGGGTTCGGGAGAACTTCTTTCTCTGATCAAAGAACCAAAGGCTTCCGAAGAGGCCCTAGGAGTCAGATAAGGACGCGTCCCTGAACTGGGAGAACTCCGAGACTATAGTCGGTTCATCACATTTTCAACATGTGCGACCTCAAGAGCAGTCTGGGATCAGAGAAAAAGATCAACACCGAGTGAAAGAACACCGGCTCCAAGGCGCCGATGAGGTGGTATTTACGAACGGGACGTTGTTTTTTACCGTCCGCGCGGAAGAGGTCTCTGAAGTTGGAGCATCGATAGCCGGGTGACGGGTGAGGCAAGCGAAGATGATTCTCTACGGCGCCGGCATTCCGGATGCTTAGGGTGTGCATTGGAACCTAAGAACGGGACAAGCATTTTTATGTCTCTTCTCGATGTTCTGATGATGAGCCGTCTTCGGGATAACCTCTTAACCAGGGCCTGAGGTGAACTTGCGAACGCGGAGCAGGAGCAGGGACAATTATTCCTTTATAATAAAATGATTTTGGCGAACTCCCGGCGACAAGCGAATCCCAGGAAGTTTCGGCTCTGAGAGTCTCAGCTGAGTCTCACGGTGAGTTCGTACCGATTCCCCGTCCCTCGGAGCTCTTCAGAAAATAAACAAACATGTTTCGGAGGCTCGATCGCAGCAATCGGCGGCTCTCAAGCTCAGAGTTAGGGGATCGAGACTATGTTTGTGGTGGGGATCCTTATTTTTCCAAGGAGGTGACAAACTCCACTGCAGTGAACGTCGTACATCTAGGAGACGCCGCATCAGAATCCACGAGGGGACATATGTACCCTCAAAAACATATACGGTAAATCCTCCTATAGAAGCCCCCGTCCAATTGGAGCCCCTCTTCAATAGAGCCCCCCCTGCCGGAGCTTTTGAGAAAATAAAAGCCCCCCTCCGATGGAAGCCTGTCTCCAATAGAGGCCCCCCTCCAAACGGAGCCCCTCTCTACTAGGAGACTCCGGACTGCCGAAGTCGGCTGGGGAAAAGCTGACGTGATAGAATCTGGACCGCGGTACCCAAGGATTTCGACCCAGACCGGGGACGCTCTTCCCCAGAAATCCATCATCACTTTTCCGGAGCAAGATTTCTCTTGGGACATTAAGAGCCTCCTCCAACAGTAGCCCCTCTCCAATAGAAGCCCCTCGTCGGAGGTATTTGAAAAAAGACAAGCCTGACTCACTATCGGGGGATTTACGGTACCTATACGGATCGAATGCTCAGCGCGTCTGGCTTCCAGGGTGCAAGCCGTCGAACACCGCACCCTCCTCGAGGAATATCGCAGCTCAGTGTGGGGCCGGGAGAGACATTCTCGAGCTCAGCCATCCGAAGGGAAGTTTTCGTTTCCCTCTCGCTGCTTCCCCAGGTTTCTGTCGGGGAGTTCGAATTCTCGGCCTTGATTCTCGGGACAATACTTCCGAGTTCCGATCTAGAATCCCTACTCAGTGACATGTCAGATCTGCAATAGACGGTGCTGAGCCCAGGTGTGGGATAAGGGACATGGGATAACTCCCAAAAGCACTCAATCCATGACACCACTCCCCTGGAATCCCGCCGACTCCGAGGAGTCATCATTGGAGAAGCGAGGGGAAATAGCGTATAGATCCTCCTTCAAACGAACTTTCTCTCCCAAAATCAGCGACATGCCGCTCCCGTCTATTCTTGAAGTAACTCTTTTCCTTACTGTCACGTGTCATGATCAGCGGGGATACCGGGTCAAACATCGTCGAGAAAAGTTGGTTATCTGTTAGATAATTATTATTCTCGCCAATGGTGGCTTATTTCGAATTCCGAGATACATCCCTCACGTATTCGCAAGCATATATTGGCACCAGTTTCCCCACATGTGCCAGTTTCGGCACATCTTCGGCATTGCTAGTCCACAATTAGTCTTTATTCACTGTACGATTGGTCGAGGAAGGCATATTCCATGGAGAAAACGGCACTGTGACATGTTGAGGTCGAAACTTTGCATTCTCAGATATACGGTGATCTCCTTGGGAGACGCGAGCGCCCCTCGTGAGGCATAGGGGAGAGGTGGGGGAGAAAAAATCGAGAACCGCTGGATTAGAGGAAAAAGTTCACTAAGGCGAGTTTTACACGATCGAGCACTGACTGTTCCTCGATCATTGATCATGGAAACCCCGTCCAGGTTCCATGTAGAATCGGGAGGACACCGATTGAATGAAGAAAAGGTCACATCGCACGGAATCGAATCATGTGTACCTCGATGATTCTGATGATATACGAATCGGGACCTAAGGATCCTTTGAGGCAATCAAGAATGCGTTTCACGTCCGTACTCACGGTAGTGTCTCTGGCACTACCTGCCAGAGGCTTTTTTATCATGGTCTTATGTGCGCCGGAATCGGTGGGGAGAAAGAGCCGAAAAACGGCTCACAAACGAAGCGCTTGCGCTTTCATTTGTATAGGGGGATTCCATAGCCCAGGTCGATGGGTGTCCCAAGGGCGCTACCTACATAGGTATTTCTGATTTCACTACATCATCAATCATCACTGTACCTCGATCGGATCACCCTGGGATCCAGCGACATACCCGAGCTCTCCATATTAGTCGTGTACCTTAGCCCAAGTGTTTCGATCGATCCAGCGATTCGTGGTTAAGAGATGGTGATCGATGCCATGATGTCGCAGTCATGGTATTGGGAAGTCTTGCGTAAGTTCTGCGGAACTGCGAAAAATTCGGGAAGAACATGATCTTATCTGGGAGAACGCCATGAGCGAGGAAGGAGAGACCTCAACCCGTGTCTCTTTCGGAGAACCAAGTATCCCTCGCGAGAAGGATCACGGTATAGTCAGAGCTAAACTCGACTCTCTCGCAATATACCCAACCTCGGACAACGCCGGGAGCAGGGAGGGCACAGGGAAGCCCACAGCGTCGCTCAGAGCCATTCGTGCGAGATCCAAAGAATAGGTATTCGAAGAAAAAAGTATGCTCTCATAAGATGCCTCGCGAAGTCGCGTCAGTCGGGCTGAACCTCAGTTTGAACTCTGACACAGGCTCACCTGACAGGTCACTTGAGGGATTTGGCTGGACAGCATTCACCAAGCAGCCCCTCGAGCACGATCGCGGTAATATAACGGTGATGGCGGAATTGTTCACTCCGTGTCTGCTCCGCGCCGAAGGATCCACATGGAGACTTCTATGCCGACCAAGCTATGCTCCATGAATCCACGAATATGATCATAATCAGCGTGAATTCTCATAGGTTCTCGCGGCCGCTGATACCGGTGCCGAGGAATTCTCCCTAACTAGCCGGTCAGCACAGCGTTCCTGAGGCATCTAGATATATGATGTCGCGGCTGGCGGCACTTCAGTGCACGCAGAATTAGGTACTATGACCATATACGAAGGTATCGCGTATCACTCGCGGTCACGGAAGCCTTACTCATACGTCAAACAATTCTGTCAACCCTGAAGATTCCTCTCTTAAGTATATGATGTCAGGTGTGAGTACGATCAGGTCTCAATCACGGACAATCATTTGCATTCATTCCAAGACTTCGTACTTGTGAATATCGATCTGCCTATATAGGGTGCCGCTTAAATATCCCTGTCACGAACAGGACCAGGTCCGCTGCGTCATCATCAACCATTTATTTCTCCCACCACACTATTCCGACCATACTAACCTCTATTCCAATCACATCACACATCCCAACACACTCACAGAGAGAGGCCAGGTAATCACCGAGGGTAATCTTACTATAAAGTTAATCTAAGGGGTTCCTCCCCTTCCTTCCCATGTATATATTCCATATTCATTATTTCCTAAGTTAAATAATCTCAATCAGAGATAAATAAATGAGACTCAGAGTCGGTAGCGCACTCGGGGATTCGCGACAACAGCTGACTGTCAGCGGCGCTGTCAGTGGCCGGAACTGTGACGTCAGACCTCAGTAGCAATCTCGATACCGGTAAAGCCTGATCACGCTCAGCGCTCCCCCGATATTTCTCAGGACTCAGGGTTCAAATACTTGACTCCGGTTTGCGAAAAGATAGGCCTGGGTCACGCCCCGCTATCTAATTCATCCCCCTCAAGTGCGTGCAGACTTGGAGTCATTTCTAGTGAATCCTCCGTGTCCTCATTGGAAGTGCCTTGAAGCTGTGCCACAATCCCCATCTCCGCGCGAACCGTCATCCTGAGCCCTCCGGTCTGTCCCGATTGACGATGCATGGATCAGGATATAGCCCTCGCTTCATTTAGATTTGCTGACCCTTCTGAGTAATTAATGGAATTCGATATCGATTGGTCGCATGCTCATTCGATTCCTTGATTTCGAAGCAGAAGTCGCTTCTATGCTGATAATATTTTTGTCCAACGCAAGTTCTCCTTGGTATGCTCGTTTGTTTCCGGCTATCATGGAGAGCAAGAGTGGATGGGCACACGATCTTATTGCGACGCATGCTCCTCCCATGGCTGGGTTCCTTTCCTTGGGGTCCCAAATGACTTCTCAGTAAACAGGACGACGGTCGGCGAGAGAATCTCTGGATGCGGAGGCATTCAAGAGTGACCCGCGACGGAGAGGATGCTAAGGATGGAGGAAGACAATGAAGAGATTCCTTGGGTGGAGTTGCGGTCTCGTACAAGCGGACGGTGGGCCAAAACAGCTGCAGACGCTGGCCCAGAGCGATGTGAGTCAGACTCACATATAAGAGATTATCCTCCACTTGGTAAATCCTCTTCTATCAGAACAACAAAAGCAGAGATATAGAGCCATCAGAGTCATTTGGAGAGTCGTATCGACCACAAATGGTTGCACTTTGGCTCGCTCCTCTAAGCCTGCGCGATGAAGCCGGTTGTTCCGATGGCTCATCAACTTCATTGGTCTCACATTGAGTAACGAGGGGCTCGATTCTCGAAGGCATATTGTGTGGAGGAGAAATTCATTCATAGAATTTATTCTTTCTCGCCTTTTTCACTGTGCCACTGTCGTCGTGTCGCCGCAAGCGT